ACGGGGTCGGCGGCCTGAGCCGGAGGTTCTTAAATTGAAGCAGGTCCGTGGCGTTGTGAGGGACCGCCGCCGGCTGAAGGTCCGAGAAAAGCCAAAAGACATCCCTAGGAGGCTTGCAGCAGGCAGAGCTGCAAATTCGGCCCACAGGGACATGGCTCTTAATACAGATGAACCGACAGTTCCCACACTCCTGCACCCACATGACTGATAATGCGATGGTTTGGACCCTTAAGCTTGTGTGCTTCTGCTGAGGAAACTGCCATCCAGAGGTGCTATCTCCTTGCAGCTCTGCAGCTCATCGACGAGGCCCGGATTAAACGTAAATGCCGACATCCCCAGTCAAACCTCAGACAGATGTAAGGCAGGTGACGAAAAAACGTAAACAGGACAGGCTTGTCCTGGATTATTGATCTGGTGCCAGACAGAATCCTATATTATCTGTCTTGAACATCAATAACCCCAAGACAACAATCACGCCCTCAGTGGCAATGCATTCACCCACTCCTTCCGATCTTTACCGCTGTCAGATATGATGCACTCGAGAGTCGCTGCATGTCATGGACATGCACAGCTACTGCAGTCGCCTATCACGATGCAGCTCGAGAGGCTCTGACGGGGCAGCAGATTTTGCAAGGCCGCCAGGCACGGGCTCTTCATGCTGGGAGTTGCCCCTTTTGTGAAACTGATCTGCAGGATGCAGAGCGTGAGCAGCAACCGTCTGTCCAAGCTCTGACCACCTGAGTGGGGTCTGGGCGTCCCAAATCCAGAGAGAGTCCGATCTGCCCTGCCCTTCGAAGCTGCTCTTGGGCGTCGGACGCGCCACGCTGAAGAGGGGCATCCTGGAGGAAGCTGGACAGCCGCACAAACCGATCGGGGCGACGGAATGCTAGCGAGTCTTAGGTCGTGAGGCACCAGAAATGCCTGGAACGTCCGACATCTGTTCTGTTTGACAGTGCTCTTCTCGTGGCCAGCCGCTGCACTTCCACGGACTTGCCCATCTCCCATAAGCCCAGAAGCGTAGAGAACCTAAGTGTAAAGCTCCGGAGGCCTTCAAAGATCTTCAGAGGCTCGCCAGACAAACTTCGCTTGGAACCCCTCGCGGCCTTCAAAATTAAAACAAAGTTCGTCGAAACAGCTCATCATTTGGGGAAACACAGTCTGCAAAATGCAGCAACGCTGAATTTTGCGTGTCAATCGGCAATCCGCGATCGTACCCACCCTTTATGAGGTCAGTTTCTAGTGCTACATGGCATGACATATTGAAGCCGTATAGGTGCACCGGAAAGCCGTCCCTGAGTTGGCCAGCCCACAAGAGCAGGGGGATGTGAAACAAGTCAGTCTTGGGCCTCGCACTGGTTCCTGTTACGAGAGGCGGCCTGGTGTTACAGGAACTGGTGGTTGCTGTTACAGGTTCGGTCCCCGTTTCTGTTACGGGTTCCCGTTACGGACATCCTGAACTGAACAGTAGTAGTCGAAGTCTAGTAGAGTATGGTCCGTCGGAGCGGTGTCCCAATCTGTATCACGGAGTTTCGATAGATTCCTTCATTGGCAGCCTGCGGACAACCAGCCATGCCCCCACCACTGCTGCATCGAAGATCCAGTGGATCTCCTGATCTCCACTCCCACGAGCTATCACAAGATCAAACACGCTGCACCCAGCCCAACCGAAGCCCGGCACCGCTCTCTTTGCGCCAAGCCACTTGCCAGCGTCAAACAGGCCATGGGCCATGGACATCCATGGACAGTGCCAGACAACCTGCGTGCGGAGGTGGAACTTCCGCCAATCCCTCCATTTCTCCAGGCCCCGATCATATTCAACATTCTGGTTTAACTCGCCAGCTCGGTCCTGAAGTTGCTCAGAGCATTGCTCAAGACCTGGCTGAAAGTGCTTCTGCAAGTCTCCTTGGACAGGTGTCCCACTCCGACTTCATTGGCGAAACTCTTTGCAGACAGGCAGTGAAGCATTTGACCCCATGAGTCGGGAGCTTCTGGACACTGAGTTCTGAAAGCTGAAACACTGCAGGACCAGCACCAGGCCCCCGGTCGTTGGGTGTACCTCCTGAGCTCTGACCGAGAGCACTGGCTTTCTGTGGTGCCTGTATGCAGCGATCAGTGTCAGTCTTCGGGTGAGGTTCTGATTGCGCCTTCGACACCACCAGAGGTTGGTATAGGGAAACACAGCTAAGGGCCATAGGAGAAGCCAGTTGCGATCCAGAACCTTGGCCGAGTCTGCAGAGAGGGTGAAGGAGGGGGCCCGAGGGGAGGAGAGGCGCGAGAAGAGGAGAGACGCGAGGAGAGGAGAGGCCAGGCGAGGAGAGGACAGGAGAGGGGGCTGTCGCCGCAAACCAAACCCAGATCCGACTGCAGCGCAGAAGCATCCACAGCAGTAGAGGCCGCTCGTCTGAGTCGTCCACCGAACCCATGGCCAAGGCAGAAGATGTAAGAAAACCTAAACCCCAAATTCCCCAAACCTTCAACCTTAAATCATATCTAAATCTGAAGACGCAAGCGGAACAGATGCAAGCTTATTGAGCAGCAAGATGGCACCACATGGAGAAATGCAACTACGACTCCAGGAGCCTCCTCCTGGGACAGCAACCTGAAATCCTAGGCCCCGAAGCAAGCTGCCTAACTCTAGCTTCCAGCCAACATCGGCCAAGCGGCAATCAACTCGAGAACTGTGGGTCGCAAGCATAAGTCTGGCCAAAGCTTTCAAACAAAGGCAAGTTGACGTCTGAACAAGTGCCATGCACTGCGTCGATACACGCTGATCATTCGTCATGCCCCTCACGACTTGCGAAGACCATCAACAAAGCGAACCCTGACAAGCCGACTCATTTCTTCCAGCATCGTTTTTCGATACCTGACGTCATGCACGCCTCCGACACTAGGTACAGAAGCGGCACCGGGCTGGACACTGGATCTTCTTGACGAGACCTAGACTTATACGGCTGTCTAGCCATGAGGGTGCGACATCAACTAGGCTTCGACATTACAAACAATGAGGCAAGATGTCTGTGCGTCGAAACCCTGTTTCTGGTCGAAGCTACAGTACCATGGTTGTTCATGCACACTGAAATCGCGGTTATCTACAGCTAATACCCGACATTGCAGTTCTTTCTCAGCCACTGCACATGCTTTAATTTCTGGCGCATCCGGTTTACAGCACTTCTGTGATGTCGAAACCTCGTCTAGACTCTAGACTTTAAACCATCCAGCATACAGAATCTCTGTTGTGCTTCGAAATACTACTACTACTACTACTACTACTACTACTACGACGACGACGACGACGACGACGACGACGACGACTATGAGTACTACTGCGACTTCTTCTTCTTCTTCTACTCTACTCGCTTGCTACTGCTATGACGACGACGACGACGACGACGACTACTACGACGACGACTACTACCACTACCGCTACCACTACCACTGCCACTGCTACTGCTACTGCTACTGCTCACCCTACTGCTGATGCTACTGCTGCTGCTGCTGCTACTGCTGCTACTGCTGCTGCTATTGCTTCTGTTGGTACTGCTGTTACTACTTCCCTACTGCTAACTACTGTTATAGCAATCAGCTCGTTTTCATGATGCGTGCCGCTTCTGGCACCGTGGGATCGAATTTCGATTGCCCCAGGTCAGGGTCCCCGATGTAGTTGGCAGTCTGCAGTTGGATTCTGAAACCTTGTCGTGCCTGAAGGGACCCAGATCTTGGGGAAGTGTAGTGAAACCCAAGTTGTCTAATCGTGGCCTTTGGTGCGATTGCTGATTCTGCTTTTATGTACATCTGGAATGAACGCCCAAAGGCTCTGCGCTTGACTTGATCATTTTACGTCTCCGTCTCCGTCTCAACTCAGCATTTCCTAAATCTTGCAGTGCTAAATGTTCCTCAAGCTACAGCCGCAGGCGTGGCTTGCGGCTGGGCTCTGGTCGATCGCTTTCTGCAGCTCGCTGCTGCTCTTCCTCGGCAGACCGCACTGCAGGACCGGGCTCGTGAGGGCTGGGGGAGCGGCGTAGTTTCGGGGAGGTCGATACCGAGGCACCAGATTCTCGGTCACGCGGCGTAGCATCGCTTTAAGATCATTCTGGGCCTAGCAAAGCTAATGGCTCGGAAGCTGACTTCCAGGCCTTCTGGTGGACTCCACCTCACTCATCCGTGGGCGTCCTGCCTCCACTTCCTCCGTGTACTTTCTACATCGGTCCTCAGCGAAGAGAGCAAAAAACTTCGAACGCATACGGCGGGATACGGGCCCGGGCGGCCAGCATGGTGATGCTCATCTCCAGGCGCTTCAGAGGATCAGACCCGAAGCCGGGCTTGCCACCTCGGCCCGAGGTCCGTCCCGGGGAGGGCACATCCAAACTCCAAACTCCAAAATCTTAGCCGCCAGCTTTCCACCGCCTTGCGCGAGGCCTGGGTGCACGCGGTGCCGAAGCCTTGTGTCACGGCCCTCAAGGCACTCTTCGGCTTGGGGCGCGGACCTTGGCCAGCTGAGCAAGCCGGTTGATCCTTTCGGGCAGGTCCTGCGCGTGAGGCTCAAACTCGGTGTGAAGGTCAAGCGCAAGACGCGGACATGCTCTCCCACATGCCCCGACGTGGACATCCTCCTATCAGGCTCTACCCCATGCCTGGAGGGTGTGGAGGTCCGTTGACTGGAATCGATCGGCCAATTGACTGGCGCCTCCGATCAGCACGCACATCGGCAGATTCCAAGTCGTTGAGAGTCGCACTCGAAGTCTGCCAGCCTTCCTGAGCTTTGTTGCAGTGTGCGTTCAGGTCTTTGCGAACTGCCCTCGGCTCGGCTGCAGCCATGGAGGAGCCGTGTGCAATGACGTGGACCGGATGCTCTGACTAGGACGTCGTGGTGCCAGGCAACTGCTGATCCTTGTTAAAGTTGGCCGACTGCTCTTGATAGGACTGCATTTCTTTGAGCGTCTGCGAGACCTCAGCCAAGGATGTGGCCGATGGCCTCGCGCAAGGGTCAGACGATGTGGGCCCTGCCGTCGAGCGATCCTCCGCCTGCGACTCCTGGGCTATCCCTGCCAAGCGGTCGAGTGTGGCGAGGAGCTGCTTCTCCTGCATCGCTGCATCGCTCTTTGACGGATGACACAAGCTGATCTGCACCGGCAACGGGCCTTCGCCTGCTGCTCGCTTCGATCCACAACTTCAACGGGCTCCTCTCACTGCGCATGCTGCATGTCACACAAGTCCAAGCTGTCCCTCTCTGCAGCAGCCCGACCGCCTCCTTGGTGCCATCGATGCTGTGGCTGTTCACCGTCGCCTTGCTCTCCGAGTGATGTTGGACTGCGGCCTGGGCAAATTGGCAAACTTGACTCCGCAGAGAAAAGACTGTGACCGGCAACCGACGGCCGGTCTCCAAGCGGGACAAGCCAAGCTGAAAAGTCCTGCTTTCTGCAAAAAGGCAACACTGGTCTGCACCACGGGCTGTACTTGGCCAGGCAGTGGATTGTCATCTTCGAGCGCTTGCCTGAGACGAAAAATCAAGAACTTGGATGTAGAAGCTCCGGGTTCCTCTTCTGGAGGCTGCCACGACAACATAAGAATCTGTGCCTAGTGGACCGAAGAAGAACGAAACCCAGCTGATGTGAGACGTCGGGCAGCCACACATGAGCCCCTCGTGGTTTTCGGCTTGGGCTTAGAGAGTTTAGGATTGTACATTAACGTCTGTCAATTCTGTGACCCACCCTACGTTGCAGCCAGAGTTGCAGCGCCTGCACACGCAAGAACTCCTGCATCTCGCCGGGGGCGTCAGGGTCAAAGCCCGCCATGATGCAGCGAAAGCGCATTTCTTGTGGCTTCTGGCTTTCTGCCTTCAGCCTTGTTGTGCGCAACGGCACCACAAGCACCGAACGGCAAGCAACGCATGACAAATACACGTGTCCAGGCATACCCACATCTCCGACAATCTCCGACAGAACTCTTAAGCACTCCTAATGTTGCATCTTCCTGGATTCGGGTTTACAGGATTCTCTGACAGTTGATGTGAGTAAAGGACACCGTAAAGCGGAAACGAGTCAAAGACTGAGGCATGTCCGCTTGGTCGCTTAACCAGCTCCTGGTTCAAAACAGGGAACATCAAATCCCAGAATCCTAGAGTCTTGCAGACCTAGCAGCATGCTCAGCAGACTCTCGGTGACCTGGATGGAGCGGAGGCTCCTTGGTAGAACCACAAAGCATCGCTTAGCGCGTGTGTTAGAGTTTCTCCTCTTGCAAGGTTTGAGGAAAGCACGAGGTTCGTGTTCTCGCCACCAGACGGAGTGCATCCAGCAAAGACACTTCCACCTTCCCATGCTCCGCTTTCGGATAACAGTTCACTGAAGATTGGCTTTCTGTTTTTCAACCATGGCTTAGAATGATGCCGAACCGTGTGGCCACTCATGACTCATGACTTTATCTTTTCAGCTTTATGCCCACTTCCGGACGGTCGCATGCTCTCCGGAGGCCGGGGGGGCCTCCGACGTCTTGCTAGTCTGGTACTCGCGCACATGGCTGATGATGTATTCCTCGGACGCCGCGAAAGCTGCCACCGTGCTTCCTAAACTGCGACCGCTTCCCTTCGACAACAAATCCAGCTAGGCAGCTGCGTTCACCTTGCAGGGGATTGAGGCAAGAGATGGCCAGAGTGTTCTTGTATGTAACATCCAGCCTTGGTCATGTTGTCTGCTTGGAAGGCCTCGACGAGGCTCTTCACTGTCACCACTTCGGCAGGGTGGGCAGGCATGTCCTCGGATTTGGCTTTCACCACGTGCGACCCGGAAAGTCGACGGCCCCACGGCCCGACGGCGCGAATCGAGAGTCTCCCTTCGATGAAGCTCGAGGCCTCGACCCGGTCTCGAGTGTCCCGAGTTACACAAAAAGGCTTCGTAGAAGTGACTTCGTCCGGGTCGTGTTGGGCCTCTGGGCACTACGTATCTTGAACTACGATAGCGCTGTGGGCAAAGTCCCAAGCACGCCCGAGATTCGTCATCGATCAGCCTGTTAATGGTGTACCACTCGTCCAGGAAGTCCTTCTTTTTCCGCCTTAGTTTAGCCGCCAGGCATGCGTGACTCGTCCAGCGGAGAAGCAGAAGCAGCATCGGTGAACAAGGATGCTAGCCTCACGACTCAGGCACGTTCTGCCTTCTGACCGAAATGCAGGCCACCTTGCTTCTTTGATACCTACCTGCCTCCGCCCGAACATCCTGAAATCAAGACTCCGCAGCTGGTCTTGGAGCTCCCTCCACCTCCTTACCTCTCTCTCTCTCGCACTCTCTCGCTCTTCTTCCATCCACTCAGCCAAAGGAGAGGACGGACCCCCCGCCCACACGCTCGCTCGCAAGCGCACTGGTTCGTCTGAGTTGGTGTGATAACTGCTGTGTGATGAGGCTGACGATCCGCTTTGTCTCTCTCTCTCTCTCTCTGCCTCTCTCTCTCTCTCTCTCTCTCTCCCAGGTGGGAGGCCTCTCTCACACTGCCTGCCTGTCTGTCGGTCTGTCTGTCTGTCGGTCGGTCGGTCTGTCTGTGTCTGTCGGTCTGTCTGTGTCTGTCGGTCGGTCAGTCCGTCTGTGTGTCTGTGTGTCTGTCGGTCGGTCGCTGTCTCTGTCTCTGTCTCCGTCTCTGTCTCTGTCTCTGTGTCTC